GATGATAATCTGTGTTGGCAAGATTCCCTGTGCAGGGAAACTCCTCTCTTTTTTGGATAGCATTTTGGCAGCAAACATCAAAATCCTAAATGTGAATATGCTTTCGCCCAGTAATTTCACTTCTAGGAGTCTTTTAGAAATGTTCAGACATGTACAAAGAAGTGTGTCCAAGAATATTCTTTGCAGGCTTGTTTGTATTAGTAAAAAATTGGAGATGTGACAAATGCTCATCAAGAAAAGGCTGTTTAAGGTAGTGTTTCTCATCCCCAGAGGATCTTTGGGAAGGTCTGTTGAACCTCGGGAGATGCTCCTGGCATCTAGTGGGTCGAGACCAGGATGCTGCTGAACATCCTACAGGACAGCCCCCCCCGACCAAAGAATTATTCAGCCCCAAATGTCAGTAGTGCCGAGGTTGAGAAACCCGGGGTCAAATAAAGCCTCAGCCAATTAAAAGAAAAGGGTAGATCTATGTATGTGCCATTAAAGATCTCTGAGACGTGTCATATTAAAAAATGCTTTTTTACAACTTAATATGTGATCTTTGTAATACAAGGAAACAAAATAAGTAAATTTTAAAACCAACTAAATAATCACTTCCCCTCCAGAGAGGTTACCAGCTTCTTATGTTATTTCCTTCCAGAAATATTCCAGCACCAACAAACATAGGATCTGGTTTTTAATACACTGCGGGTGACTTTACCACGTGGTTAGATTAAAAAACCAGTGCATTAGCCAGCTGTTTGAGGCCTGGACCTGAGGAGCCCAGACATAATGTTTTCTAGATTATTCCTCTTCCCTTGTGTTTTCTATGGAGTTTTTATTTATTTTTTATTTATTTATTTATTTTTCCCCCCCAAAGCCCCAGTAGAAGTTGTATGTCACAGCTGCACATCCTTCTAGTTGCTGCATGTGGGACGCAGCCTCAGCATGGCCGGAGAAGCGGTGCGTCGGTGCGCGCCCGGGATCCGAACCCGGGCCGCCAGCAGCAGAGCGCGCGCACTTAACCGCCAAGCCACGGGCCGGCCCTGGAGTTTTTATTTTTGAATACAGAACAAAACTGTGTGCTGTGGGGTGGGAGGGTGGGAAGGAGCCTGCAGCAAAAGTCTGATACTGGTGAGTGAGGACCTAGAGAAAGCAAGCCAGAGTGAGGGTTCTCTCGCATGATGTTAATGAGATTATACAAGGGCTGTTCATGGTGATGACCAGTGGGGGCTTTAACAGGGAGGCACGGGCAAATTTCCCTACACCCCAGGGCAGAATTCAGCCAAAGTTGGGAACCGTTCAAATTCCTTTTCCTTCCTGCCTGCTGCCAAGCAGTCATTTATGGATCTGCTTGCATCTACAGATGCAGTTTCCAGTCACTGAATCGTCATCCACATCTCTGACTTTTTGAATAAGCCTGGCTTTCATCTTCTGGGCTTTTCCAGAAAAGCCTCTTAGAGTTGGGTCTGAGACCTTTTGATGTTGGCCTTCAAGAATTACTTCCCATCCTCCTGCCTGTCTCTCTCACTGAAACATTATTCTAAGGTCAGAATAAAAACCCCTGTGAGAGGGTAGGGTTGGGTGACCTGCCAGCATCCAGCCTGGGGTTCTCAAAACAAAAGGTGTCTGGTGCCATCTTCAGCCAGACACAGGCATGCTCAGCAGACCAGACTTGGTAGGGGTGTGGGGGTCTCAGGCCTGCTGCGGGAATGTCTCTGGGCAGAGACTGCAGGCAGCAGGCGACAGGGCCTCCTGAGACTACCACTGGCCTCTACTGCCCAGCTTAGAAGAAGGCATCTCCTGAAAACTGCCTCTTGAGTCTTCTCCAGAAATTTTCTGTCTTAGACTTCAAAATTCAATTTCTTCTTGAGAGACACCCCCGCAGGGTGAGAACTTGGGTAAGCTGTCTGGTGCTAACTGTGGAGTTAGGACCAGACTGTTTTAGTTCCACAGTCCTCAGGGGACAGTCATTTCTCTCAGGTAATGTCAGCTTGCTTCGTCTCCGGTGAAATTGAAACCCACTGCTGCTTTCACCAACATCATCTCTTCTTTCTAGTAAGAATTCTGATAGAATGAAGTCAGAAAGGACACAGTTTGGGGGGGAGTGGTTTCTAATCTGAGGTCATTCCAATGACTCTAAACAGTGTCACAGCTCGTCGTGAGACCCTCGCTTTGAGTTGAGGGTTCCTGCAACATTACTTTTAAACCCCTAGACATTTATGTTAGATAATATCTGTTAATTTTAGATAAATATCTATAAATATTTTCAACTTTCAGGACAGTTCAATATAAAAGAACAAACCGCCATGAGAGGAACTACAAGGCACCCTGAGAAACAAGTTAGTCCTTTGGGCAGTGTCACATTTAACTTACTGTAAACAGAACCACATCAATCTTCCAGAAGCCGCCGAGCCTTCTTCACTCAGTCCTGAAATTAGAACTCCTATGCAGTCATCTCTGAATTCAGGCGTGTTTGTTGACTTGCTTTTCTAACTGGGAATAAGAAGAGGTCATGAGAGGGCCAGGTGGGGGTGGGCGTGGGGGGAACCAGCACCCAAGGGCCCCTTCTCCACCATTGTCTAGTTCTTTCTTCTACTTCACCTTTCTGGCTGCCCCCTGAGTATTGATCTAAATGATTCAGGGGTTTCCAGCATTTGCAGAGGTTACCTACTGGCCTTAGAAGAGTTCCTGAAAAGTTTGGTGTCAATCAAATCTTTTTTTTTTTTTTTTAGTGTACTAGCTGAGATGCTGACCATTTAAAGTAGGAACGAATGAATTATTGGGCAAAAGGGAAGCTTTTAGGAATATGCATCAGTACACACCATTTGCTGTTTAAATGGGATTTTCCAAAATTGGGCTTTCTTAAAGAAGAGCACATGGTAGGCGGCCGTAGGCCAAGTGGACAGAATTAGGGAAGTCTAATTTTGGAAAGCAAGTTTCCCAGAAAGGTTTGAGATGCTTTGTGGTAGAGCAGTAATGTACTTCCTGCTGCACAGTACTCAGCCCTGGGAGCTCAGAGGGGAAGACCTGCTCAGGCCCCTTCTCTTCATTGGGAAACTCCCACATCTCTGTGTCACCATGAGAAAGAGCTGACTCCGTCACAGATGAAGGGTTGTAAAAATTATTCTAATCTTTGCATTAAATTAGGTGCACAATTGCTTCTCCACCTAGAAATCACACTGCATAATCCTGAATTATCTACATTTTAAGGCAGGCCTTGAATAAAAATGCCCCACCATGTGCGGGGGTCAGTGAAAGACTTGGGAGACCGGTAGACTTCCCAGATAGACCAGGCCTGGAAATGGGGGCTGATGAGGCCGCAAAGCCCTGGCAATCATGCATACTCTTGAGTGAGGCAAAGGCTCCCCTCGGAGCTTTGAAACAACCTCAAAGCGTGAATCATTATATTACCATGGCTGGCTGGCTTGAGAGGAACCGAAAAAATGAAAATACTCACATTTCTCATTAGCAAAGAGAAATATGCAAATGTTGAGGGTCCCTTGTGTCAGAACCACACTCTTCTGTTTTGATCTGTTAAGCAGAGCACTCTCCATGCCTGCTTTAAGCTTCAAGCCGAGAGTTCTTTTCTAGCTGTTGTACCTATTCCTGAGGACCTGGATAGAGTGTTAGAAATGAGGGGCCTTGGAAAATAGAGCATTTTTAGCATCGACCACTTTAACCAGCATTAGATCCATTTTGTGATTTAATTCTCACATAGACTCACATTTTCTACGGCACTGTTTCTCCACAGCAGCACAATAATTTGGGCCGCATTTGGAACCAGATAGTTCTTTGTTATGGGGCCTGTCCTGTGCATTGTGGGGTGTGTAGCAGCACCCCTGGCCTCTACCCACTAAATGCCAGTAGCACTCCTCGTAGTTGTGACAACCAGAAATGTATCCACATGTTGCCAAATGTCCCATAAGACACGAATCACACACACACACACACACACCCTTTGAGAATCACTGTTCTATAGGAAAGAAGCAGTGTAAAATAATCTTTGTCCTAAATTAGTTGTGCTTTTAAAACAGATCCTAAGATTGTACATGCATTTAACACCTGTGTGTTATTGGTTTATTTTCCTTGGGGAGTGAATAAGATTTTATTCTCTTCGAATGGCCTTCATAAAAACTCAGAATCTTCTCTCCCTCTTCCGATCTGTTCTCCCATAGTATTCATATGTTGCTAATAATTTACCTGACCTGTTAATTCATTAATATGCCATTAATTGATTAATTCTGCACATGCATTCATTCATTCATGCAATGGTATACTTAGCAGTCTCTCCCACATGCCCCGTCGTGAGCAAGCACTGCCTCGTAACCAGGATTCCCACATTTGATTGATGACACATCCACCTTCCTCAGCTTGTTCATGATGAGGGCTTACGTTTTTGGAAGGCAAAATGCATCTGACTTGGGAGAACATGGTCCCTGGAGTCAGACAGACTTGGGTTCAAATCCCACCTCCGCTGCTTACAAGCTGGGTAGCCTTGGACTGATTATTGAATCTGTATGCGTCAGTTTCCCCATATGAACACGGGGGTGATTTCGTCTACCTGGCACAGTTCTGTGAGGCCTCAATGAGATCATGTACGTGAGACATCAGTAAATGGTAACTTATTGTCTGCCAACTGGTAGGTTGTAATGTATGAATTGCCATCTTTCTAGGTCAAAAACAATCCAGTGTTGGCAGCTTCCTACAGTTCAAGGTAATATGTAAACCCAAGGTCCAGTATCACGCTGACTCTATCTTTGCTCTGTGGTGGTCCAGCAAAAATGGCATGATTCTGCTTGGTTATTTTCCTGCATTCCTGCCCTCTCTCTGAGGAGGCATCCTGTCAGCACAACATAACAGACTTCAGAGAGGACGGCCTCCACACCAGCATGTATTTTAGAAGCTTGTACTACGGAAAGTTGCATTCTTCGAACCTTCCAGCTACGTTGTGAGGAAATAACCTGATTGATAGCAGTTCCTTGATTTTCTGTTGTTGTCCCCTGGGTGCTCGTCTTGGGTAGGCATCTCTATCTCTCTGATGTCTCTATTTACGTCTCAGGTCACTCTGCTGATCGCCTTCATCTGCGTGAGGAGCTCGCCGTGGACCAGCTACAGTGCCTACAGCTACTTCGAAGTGGTCACCATTTGCAACTTGATAATGATCCTCGCTTTTTACCTGGTCCACCTCTTCCGCCTCTACCGTGCACTCACCTGTATCAGCTGGCCCCTGTCGGTAAGAGAGTGGCCTGGCCCTGTCCCCGCACGCACAAGTCGGGATGGTAGCTGGGGCGCTGAGACCCAACGGAGTCCTTCCTGTCTGCCCAGCCCAACTCTTTCATCATCCTTTGCTGTTTCAGCCCTGAATTTCCCTGTTTGGTGGACATCTCTGCCTGATGTGCCACTGCTTTCTAAAACTCACCTTCCAGCTACAAGAAGGCTGTGCCTCTCGCCTCAATCTTTATTTTCTCAAGTGACTGAAAATGGTCTGTGTGTGTGTGAGTTGGGAGGAGGAACATGGAAGGAAGAAGCTGACAAAGTGATGGGTGTTTACACTGTTGTGAGTATTGAATAGTAAGATTTGTCAGCTAAAATAGACTGGCAGAGTCTGAGGAAAGATTTCAGAAGTTGTCGGGGTTTTTTCTTCCCACTACATTATTTTTTAAAACAGCTTTATTGATATATAGTTCACATGCCATACAATTACCCTTTGAAGTATACAATTCAGTGGATTTCAGTACATTCCCAGAGTTGCGTAACCATCACTACAGTCAATTTTAGAACATTTTTATCACCTCAGAAAGAAACCCCTTACCCTTTAGCTATCACCTCCTACCTCTCATCCCCTCCAGCCCTGAGCAACCACTAATCTACTTTCTGTGTCTATAAATTTTCCCGTTCTGGACACTTCATGTAAATGGAATCATACATGTGGTCTTCTGTGACTGGCTTCTTTCACTTAGCAGAGTGTTTTCATGGTTTATCTGTGTTGTAGAATGTATCAGTACTTCATTTCTTTTTATAGCCAAGTAATAGTTCGTTGAAAGGATGTACCACATTTTGTTTACTTATTCATCGTTGATGGACACTTGGGTTGTTTCTACCTTTTGGCTATTATGAATAATGCTGCTATGGACATGCATGTACAAGTTTTTTGTGTGGACATGTTTTCATTTCACTTGGGAATATACTTAAGAGTGGAATTACTGGGTCACATGGTAACTATGTTTAACTGAGGAACTGCCAGACTGTTTTCCAAAGTGACTGCAGCATTTTACATTCCCGTCAGCAGTGTATGAGGGTTCCAGTTTCTCCATGTCCTTGTCAACACTTGTTGTTTTCTGACTTTCTGTTTTAGTCATTCTAGTGAGTGTAAAGTGGTATCTCCTGGTTTTGATTTGCATTTCTCTGATGACTAATGATGTCAGTCATCTTTTCACATGCTTTTTGGCCATTGGTCTATTTTCTCTGGAGAAATGTCTATTCAGATCCTTTGCCCATTTTTGATTAGGTTGTCTTTATTATTGAGTTGTAAGAGTTCTTTGTATATTCTGGTTGAAAGTCCCTTATCAGATATATAATTTGAAGATATTTTCTCCCATTCTGTTGGTTGATTTCCACTTTCTTGATTGTGTCCATTAAAGCACAAGTTTTTAATTTTGATGAAATCTCATTTATCTATTTTTCTTTTGTTGCTCATATTTTTGGTATAATATCTAAAAAGCCATTGCCAAATCCAAGATCATGAAGATTTACCTCTATGTTTTCTTCTAAGAGTTTTGTAGTTTTAGCTCTTACATTTAGGTGTTTGATCTATTTTGAGTTAATTTTTGCATATAGTGTCAGGTAAGGATTCAACTTTATTCTTTTGCATGTGAATATCCAGTTGTCCCAGCACCATCTGTTGGGAAGACTTTTCTTTCCCCATTGAATTGTCTTGGCACTCTTGTTGAAAATTTGTTGACATGGATTTATTTCTGGACTCTAAATTCTGTTGCATTGATCTTACCACACACTATCCTGATTACTGTCAATTTGTAGTAAGTTTTGAAACTAGAAAGTATGAGTCTTCCCATTTGTTCTCCTTTTTTAGGATTGTTTTGGATTTTTGCAATTCCGTGTGAATTTTAGAATCAGCTTTTCAGTTTCTATAAAGAAGTCAGCTGAGGTTCTAATAGGGATTGCACTGAATCTGTAGACCAATATGGAGATTATTGCCATCTTAACAATATTAAGTCTTATGATCATAAACATGGGAGGTTTTCTCATTTATTTAGGTCTTTAATTTCTTTCAACAACGTTTTGTAGCATTCAGACTATAAATTTTGCACTTTTTTGTTACATTTTTTTGTATCTTATTTTTTTTTAATGCTACTTCGAATGTAATTATTTTCTTAATTTTGTTTTTGGATTGTTCATTGCAAGTGGATAGAAGTATAGTTGGTTTTTGTATATTGATCTTGTATCCTCAACCTTGCTGAATTTATTTATTAGATCTAACAGATTTTTAATGAATTCCTTAGGATTTTCTATGTAGAAGATGATGCCATCTGTGAATAGAGATGGTTTTACATTCTTTTCCAATCTGGATGCCGTTTATTTCATTTTCTTGCCTTATTGTAAGAAATTAGTTGAACATTGAATTGAAGTGGGAAAAGCAGACGTCATTATCTTGTTCTTGATCTTAAAAGGAAAGAATTCCATCTTTCATCATTAAATGTGGTATTAGCTGTAGGTTTTTTGTAGATGCCATTTATCAGATTGAAGAAGTTGCCTTCTAGTCCTACTTTGTTGAGTGTTTTTATCATGAAAGAGTGTTAGATTTTATCAAATGCTTTTTCTTTGTCTACTGAGATAATCATGTGGGTTTTCCCCCCAATATTCTATTATAATATGGTGTATTAAGTTGATTTTCATATGTGGAACCAATCTTGCATTCCTGGGATAAATTCTGTTTGGTCATGGTGTATAATTCAGTTTATATGTAGCTGGATTTGGTTTGCTAGTATTTTGTTGAGGTTTTTTGCATTTGTATTCATAAGAGATGTTGTTGGTCTAAAGTTTTCGTCTTATGTCTTTGTCTGGTTTTGTTATCAGGGTAATAGTGGCCTCAGAATAATTTGGGAAGTGTTCACTCCTCTTCTGTTTTTTAGAAGGGTTTGTAAAGAATTGGAATTAATTCTTCTTTAGGTGTTTGGTAGAATCCACAGTGAAGCCATCTGGGCCTGGGCTTTTCCTATGAGTAATTTTTTTATTATTAATTCAAACTCTACTTGTTATAGATCTATTCAGATTGTTTATTTCTGCTGGAGTGATTTCAGGTAGTATGTCTTTCTAGGAATATGTCCATTTCATCTAAGTTATCTAATTTATTGGCATATAATTGTTCATAGTATTCCTTTAAAATCTTTTTATTTCTGTAAGATCAGTAGTGATGTCCCCTCTTTCATTTCTGTTTTTGGTCATTTGAATCTTTTCTCTCTTTTTTTTCTCCATCAGTCTAGCTAAAGTCTTGCCTATTCTGTTGATCTTTTCAAAGAACCAGCTGTTGATTCCATTGATTTTTTTAAACTCGATTGTTTTTCTGTTCTCTATATTGTTAATTTCTACTGCAGTCTTTATTTCCTTCTTTCTTCTTGCTTTAGGTTTAATTTGCTCTTCTTTTTCCAGTATCTTAAGGTAAAGGTTAGGTTATTAATTTGAAGCTTTTTTTTTTTCCTTTTTTGGTGAGGAAGATCAGCCCTGAGCTAACATCCGATGCCAATCCTCCTGTTTTTACTGAGGAACACTGGCTCTGGGCTAACATCCGTGTCCATCTTCCTCTACTTTATATGGGACGCCGACACGGCATGGCTTGACAAGTGGTGCGTCGGTGCGCACTCGGCATCTGAACCCTCTGGCTGCCAAAGCGGAGCATGCACACTTAGCTGCTATGCCACCAGGCTGGCCCTGAAACTTTTTTTCTTTTTTAATATAGGCATTTACGGCTATAAATTTCTCTCTGAGCACTGCTTTAGTTGCATCCCATAATTTTGGTATATTGTGTCTTCATTTTTGTTCATCTCCAAGTATTTCCTAATTTCCCTTGTGATTTCTTCTTTGACCCAGTAGTTAGTTAGGAATGTGTTGTTTAATTTCTACGTATTTGTGAGTTTCCCAGATATTTTTCTGCTATTAATTTCTGATTTCATTTCACTGTAGTTGGAGAACATACTTCATATTATTTCAGTCCTTTTACATTTATTGAGGTTTGTTTTATGGTTTAGCATATGGTCTGTCCTGGAGAATGTTTTATGTGTATTTGAGAAGAAGTATATTCTACTCTTATTGGGTATTGTGTTTTATAGATGTCTGTTAGGTCTACTTGTTATATAGTATTGTTTGAGTCTTCTGTTTCCTTGCTGATCTTCTCGAGACCTAGTTGTTCTGTACATAATTGAAAGTGGGGTATTGAACTATTATTCACTCTATTAGGTGCATACATGTTTATATTTGTTATATCTTCCTGATGGATTGACCTTGTCATCATTATAATATATCCTTGTTTATCACTGGTAACATTTGTGTTTTAAAATCTATTTTGTCTGGTGCCAGTATAGCTACTCAAGGTTCCTTTGAGTTGCTATTTGAATGACATATCATTTCCACCCTTCTACTTTCAGTCTGTTGTTATCTTTGAAAATAAAATGTGTCTCCTGTAGACAGCATATAGTTGAATCTTTTTTATCCAATCTGACAAGGTCTGCTTCTTTTTTTTTTTTTTTTAATTTTTTTTTTATAATTTTATTTATTTATTTATTTTCCCCCCAAAACCCCAGTAGATAGTTGTATGTCATAGCTGCACATCCTTCTAGTTGCTATGTGGGACGCAGCCTTAGCATGGCCGGAGAAGTGGTGCGTTGGTGCGTGCCCGGGATCCGAACCCAGGCCGCCAGCAGCGGAGTGCGCGCACTTAACCGCTAAGCCACGGGGCCGGCCCAAGGTCTGCTTCTTGATTGGATTGTTTTAAGCATTCACATTTAACATTATTCCCACTGTGTTATTTTGAGGGAAATTTCTTTTTGTGTTCCTAACTTACAAGGCCCCTTTCAAAGTTATGGCTTTGTGCTTCTTTTGCTTCTTTCTGCTTCTTTCGAGAACAAGCTCCTGTGGGCTTCCTGATGCTGATAAAGAACAAGCAAAGGAAAGAATAAGAGCTGGGGGATGAGATTGAGGGTGGGCTGAAAGGGGAGTGAATGTTGGAAGGATAAGCGCAGCCACACATTTTTGGCTGAGGACTATTTAGGTGCCTTCCATTTAGGGCTCTCTCAAGTCAGTTTTCCTATCCCATGTCATATTTCCCTTTCTTTGTGAGTGAGAATCTTGGAAGTAGGGAACTTCCAGTTACTAATCTGCTCTTTAGTCAAAATCTCTGTGGTCTACCTTGTGATATTCCTTTCCAGTCACTAAGGGAGAAATCAGGGTCTTTGATTTTGTACGGCTTTGAGAGGAGTTGCAGCTTAAAAGTGGAATGCTTTTCCAAAATTTAATCGCTGCCTACCCTAATGGGAAGAACTTCATAAAGGAATAATTTCTGAATTCTCATTGAAGACAACTGAAAATGGATACACTCTGGATTCAGAGTGAGTACTGTCTATCAATGGCTCTAAGTCCCAGGCCTCCTCTGATCCAATGTTTAATGGGGAGGAGGAAGAATGAGATGGAAACATTATCATGCTGCTGAATGACAGAGGTCCAGCCTCATCCAGGGCCTGCAAAGATACCATTTTAATCATGGAGAGTGAATGGGGTGGAAATGGATGGCCCTGTGGACCAAAGGGAGAAGCAAAGGCAGAGTCAGCCCTGCCAGTAGACCCATCAGCAGTGCTTGGCCTGAGGGCACACTTCTGGAGAGACGAGAAGAGGGAAGACAAAATGAGGACAAAACCGGGAGGACTTAGGAGTGAGAAAGCCAGATCCCACCACACACCCACAAGCGCTTCACAGAAGGGCCGCTGACCTCATCCTAGGCTCTGACTCCGAGTCTGAGGGGGCTGAGCACCTCTCAAGTCCACACCTAAAGCTGTTCACAGAATGGGCAGACACTCCGGGCAGCCACCAAAGCCAGCACATTGTTAGCCCAGAACTTTCTCTGAAGCAGAAGCAAACGGCACACATCTCTTTAAGGGGCTTTGCTTGTCAGAGCTGGAGCTTCCTTTAAATTCTCCAGCCTGGGAGTTGGAAGAAGCTTGTTTGCTTTTTAGTAGCTCTGGCTGGAGGTCAAGGTACTGTCTACAAATTGATCCCAGGAGTGGAGCAGTCCTTAGTGAATATCTCTCCTCATACGAGAAGCGTCCTTTCTCCTTGTCCCCTTCTCTTCCTGCCTGCCTGGCATCTTTTGTGCCTTTCTTGGCCTCATCCTGGCCTACCTTCCGCGTTTGTTGCCTGTGAGCTGTGCTGTTCTGTCGGGGTGTTACAGGGAGAAGAGGAAGTGTTGCCCTCTCCCCTTCTGTTCATCTCTTCTGATGCCTGGTTACCTCTAAGAACCAGGAGTGGACCTCCCTACCCACTGCTTTGCTTTGTTTTTGCCCCCAGGAACTTCTGCACTATTTAATCGGTACCCTGCTCCTCCTCATCGCCTCCATCGTGGCAGCCTCCAAGAGTTACAGCCAGAGTGGACTGGTAGCCGGAGCGGTGAGGATGTTCTCGGGGAGCCTCCAGGAATTAATTCATGTTTTGAATGTTTCGAATGCTCATTTTCTTCCTGACCAGGGCAGCGAAGGGATTGTTTTCTGGGGCCTTTCTTTCACAGAATCAGTACCCACCTTGATCCAGCCAGCTGTGGTCTCTAAAGAGCCTTAAACTTGGGCCCACAGTGGAGGGTCTCAGAAGGTGGATCATCAGGGCTGTCGGCAAACTCACACAGCCCCAGCAGCCCAGGCTGCTCTCTCTTAGAACGACTCCTTAAATCAGGGGGCAAGTAGGTTTTAATTCACATGCCCGTTCTGGTCATTTGCTCGTGGCTGCCTCAGCCCTTTGCAGGGAGAGATTCTGAGGCCTCTCTTGGGCCCCGGGGGAACAGTACTGTGATCAGTTAGTGATATCTGCTGAGTCCTAACTTTGCCCTTCCTGATTTCTAACAGTATTCAGGCCAGGAAATAACACTCATCAACCTTTCAAAGGTGAAAATTGATCCATCTGATGGGCTGAATAGAAGTAGCATGGAAATGTATAAAAATACAATGGTGTGGGAGCTACATACGTTTATCACACACGTACACACATGTATCCATATGTATATATACCTTATTTTAAAAAGATTTATAGATTCCTGTTATCTGATTTCTGATTTAGTTGTTTACAGTTTGGTGGCCTATGTGGATTTGCTGATGAGCAGGCAAGATTTTTAAAATGAGTTTTAAGAAAAGCTTTCTGTGTGACAGTCACTCTTTCATTTACACATGTTACCAAAATTCTCCAGACTTTGGGCCAAGAGTGGGTCAGTGCCTGGAATTCCACTGAGGGCCAGAGTCTGCTCTCAGCATGGGGCAGACGGTCTCTGCAGAGGGGCAGCCAAACATCTGAACACTCATGCCCCTTAAGCGCCTCCCACAGCCCACCCTCCCATCCCAGCCCCCTCATCCCCAACCCCGACCCCTGTGCTGTCTCTGAGGAGAGGGGTGGTTGCCACCTGCCCAATACAGGCAAGTGGATGAGCACAGAGGAAATTGGTGCTCACTGTGTTTCAGGACCACATGGGGAGATTCCCACTGGGTTTTATGATTCAGGTTGCACGTGACGGTGTTAGCCCTGGAATCTCAATAAACTCCATATATCATACACTGTCTCTGTGCCTAGGGCCAAGCCTGGGCCATGGGGGAGCCAGAAGAAATAAAAAGATATGGTTCTTGCTTGGGAGGAGGGCGTGATCTAGTAGGAGTTGAGGCCAAGGCACGTGAAACAATTAGCAAACAAGGCATTGTCGTCCAGAATAGCATTGTATAGTGACATCATAAACTGTTCAATTATGCAGAGCAGACAGTTGGAGAGCGGGATGGCATATAATGTGCTAATTGTGCAGAACAGACAATGAGAGGCCAGGACAGGCTCTAATAGGCTAATTATGTGGTGCAGACAATTGGTACAAAAGGAGCCAAGGAAACGGATCTGGGAAAAGGGGAGGTGGGTGTGCGCTGGTCGGGCAGCCGCTATGTAAACCAGCAGCCAGGCTTGAAAAGAAAACCAAACCTGGAAAATCCTGCCCTTTGTCTGGCTACTCCCAGGCCGTTCCTACTGGCGGTCAGCTGATGGTGGGCCTGCACTAGCAGCGGCAGAGGAGCCTGAGGCCTTTGGAGAGTCTGAGAAGGCCCCGGGGGCCACAGTAGAGCAGAGCACGGACTCTGGAGCCAGACCCCCTGGGCTCAAACCCCACATCTGGCCCTTGCTGGCTCTGTGGCCCTGGCCAAAGTAGTTGACCTCCTGCCCCTCCATTTCTTCAGCTGTAAAACAGGGAGGAAGGGGGGCTAAGACCAGCGCCCGCCTGGCCGAGTTGTGGGGGTTACAGGAATCAGTGCACCTAGAGGGCTTAGAACACTGGCGGGGATGTAGTGAGTGCCCAACAGATCCTAGCTGCTGCAGCTGCCAGTGTCGCTCACAAGTTAGAAAAATGGCGGCAGGCTTTGAAGTTCCAGACAAAGACCCCAGAGTACGGTCATGTGCCACATAACATTTCAATTGACAATGGACCACACGGACGACGGTGGTCCCATAAGATTAGCACCGTACAGCCTAGGTGTGTAGTAGGCTACACCATCTAGGCTTGTGTGAGTACACTCGGTGATGTTTGCACAACCACCTAATTGCCTAAAGACATATTTCTCAGAACGTGTCCCCTTCGTGGGACCGTGCCCACATACAGCGTGATGGCACGTGCCTGCTTCTTGCCTGACCACTTGATGAGCCTCACGTGAGGCCCCCTTCCTCTCCAGGCGCCCTGTTCCTCGTCTACAGATGAGGAGGTTCGCCTGGACTAGGTCCTCACGCTTGAGCTCCAGGTGGACCCTCAGAAAGAACGGAGCTCTGCCTGAACTTATTTCAGTCTAATATTATTTAAATATGTGCAAACATAGGACCAGACAGCAAGGCTTCAGCTTCTGGCTCTAACACAGCTATAACGCCAGACAGAGGAGAAAGCCATTATGAGTGAAATGCGAACAATACTGCCACAACAGTAAAATCGATCTGAACATTAAAAATTTGAACATTTTTAAAACCCAAATTAAAATTTACAATTCTATCTTTTTTATTAGCCCAGGATAAAGTCTGTGGCTCAGCCCCAGCTCAGTTGTAAACATAAACCTGAACGTGGGCACTGAAGTTGCCTAGAGTGAGATGAGCTGAGGGGTGGACACCCAGAGGCTTGTCTGCTGGGCCTGACCTGGGCCCCAGCAGGGGGACCCGAGGCTGGTGGATGGGTCTCATTTCTGTGCCTGAGTGAGGATGAAGTGTTTGGGTCAGATGATTCCCCAAGCTTCCTCCTGCTACAGTTGGTGCAGGGAACAGGCACAGAGATGAGAAACAGAAAGGACTGCCCAAGTGATTGGCCCTTAGCCTGGGAACTTCCTCTCCTCTCTCTCCTGTGTAGATCTTCGGTTTCATAGCCAGCTTCCTCTGCTTGGCGAGCATATGGCTGTCCTACAAGATCTCGTGTGTGACCCAGTCAACAGGTGAGTTCTGGTTGTCTGAACATAGATGATCTCTGAAAGTTCTCTCTGCTCAGGAGCAGGAGGATGGCCTGTGTTGGAGTTCAACAATCCGGAATGACCCAGCTACAGAGGAGGCCGTGAGAGCACAGGGGCCCAGGAGGAGAGACGGAACCCGAGAACCTCTGCTCTCATCCTCGTCTCCACCATGCCCAGGGACACCTTAACATTTCAGCCTCTGATGGCAGAGCGTTTTCTTATAAGTTTCCTAAAGAGAAAGTAAAATGTAGAGCCTTTAGAAAACACAAATAAGAGCCACCGCGCTCCGCTGCTGGTGGCCCGGGTTCGGATCCCGGGCGCGCACTGACGCACCGCTTCTCCGGCCATGCTGAGGCCGCGTCCCACATACAGCAACTAGAAGGATGTGCAGCTATGACATACAACTATCTACTGGGGCTTTGGGGGGAAAAAAATAAATAAAATTATAGAAAACACAAATAAGAAAAAAAAATTTTTAAACAAAAACCGTCTATCATCACACTACCCAGAAATAGCACCTGCTGGCTGTGTATCCTTCCAGTATTTCCTCTCTGTGAATATAGATAGATATAGATGTGGCTTTTATTAAAAGGATCAGACTATGTGAGTTATTTTGTAACCTCTTTCTCTTCTACTTAACCACCTACCAGATAGTTTCCCCTTGTTGTTAGGTCTTCTTCTCCATCATTCTTAATGGCTTCATGGTGTCGCACTGACTCCATGGCACGTCTGTGCCATAGTTTACTCGTCTCTTATTTGGGGACAGTACATTTTTGTTTTTAATTCTTTGCTACTAAACAGTGCTATAATGAACATCCTTATAAATATATCCCTATACATATACCTAATATTTTTTATCTTTAGGATAAATTCCTAGAAGTAGAATTGCTGAAAGCTTGAACCAGCTGTTTTAATTAATCCACTTCTTTCTTTGATCTAGCACTTCCTTTCTTTGTCTTTTTCTTTTTTAAAAACACATTAAAAATATCAAAGCATGTATATTATGTTGTCTGAGTTGCAGAAGGGTGGTCACAGCAGAGCTTTAATGTCCTTCTAGTAGTCACTGGCAAAAAGTTAACAGGATGCTGAGTGAAAGGAGCCATCCACAAAAGACCACATGCTGTAGGATTTCATTTATATGAAATGTCCAGAATAGACAGATCCGTAGAGACAGAAAGTAGGTTAGTGGTTGCTTAGGCCTGGGGGGAGGTGGGATACAGGAGTGACTGCTGATGGGTATGGGGTTTCTTTTGAGTTGATGAAAATTTTCTAAAATTGTGGTGATGGTTGTACAATTATATGAATATACTGAAAACCGTGGAGTTGTACACTTTAAATGGGTGAATTGTATGGTATGTGAATTTTATCTCAGTAAAGCTGTTTAAGAAAGAAAATGATGAAAAAGTAGAGAATATAAAAAAATGTCTAAAGGTGATAAATCTATAAATATTGGTATAAATATATTACTTAAAATTATGGAGGAATCACCAAAAGAAACAGCTGAAGGAGTTCAAGTCCCTCTGAGGATTAAGTGTGGGGCGGGGAGGAATGGGAACAGGAATCCCCTCTGCACCATTTAATTTTTTTCTTTTTTAGAAATGTATTTAAAAAGAATAAAATAATTCTAATGAGAGCTGGTGCTGGGCGGAGGAAGGAAGTGCACAAGCAGAACGTGGCTTGGCCTTCTGGTGTGTGGCTTCTGGGTGGGCCCTGCCTGACTTTGCTATTTCCTTCCCAAGAGGTAACCGCCTGACGACACCGCAGCCCCTGGGCCCCGTGGGAGGCTCTGCAGAGCGCGTGGCCCAACAGAAGGAGGATCAGGGGGCCAGTGACCCCAGGAAAGACCTCTGAACCTGTGTTCCTGTGCCAAAGTCCTGCTCAGGTTGTGGGCCTTCACCTTCCTCCTGAGCTCCGGACCTGGTCCGAGCCTCTGTCTCCAGTCTTCCTTGGAGAACATTCCTCCCCATCTGGGAAAGAAAAGCAGCCTCCAGGGAAATCTGGTCTCTCCCTCCTGCTTTTAGAACCACCTCAGGGACTGATGACCCCACTTAACAACAAGGGAGCGGTTTCTGAGTACTCCTGCATAAAACTGCTTCTACTTCACATTCCTCAGGGGAGCGAAGCTGTCTGAAGTCCTCTTATAAAAACAAAGCCGCCACCTAATTTATCTAGCCTGGAATTCTGGTCTTGAAGATGCCCTCTTCCTTAAAGTGAGGCATGCCTGTAGAAGCGCTATGTGGTCAGCCTGTCCCCAAAAGGGAAACCTCATGTCTCCTTTGCCTGTGTCTGCCTCCGTTACCATTGTGTATGTGTTTATGTGTTTTTAAATAAAATATTGACTTGGCCCATTGCAGAAGGATTCCGTATTAAACTAGAAGAAGGCTGTAAAATCAGGAGTGAAGGGAAGGGGCCCATGAGGCTCGTGGGCAAGCACTTGAGGCCACCTGGGGGCCCACCGGGTTTGTGTGCGCCACTGGAGGTGAGAAGAGTAAAGGATGCAGAAGATACTGGCCTCTCAAGATTTGCATATTTTCAAAGTAAAATGATATTAAGAGTGGAAGCCAGTGGTGTTCACACAAGACATAAGACAGGACTCAAAAGCAATACAGGCAGCCTTGAAAAGGAAGGACAGAGCCACCCCTGATGGCCCAGTGATTAAAAGTTCAGTGTGCTCTGCTTTGGCAGCTGAGATTCAGTTCCCGGGCGCGGAACCACACCACTGGTGGCGGCTCACACAGAACCAGAAGAACCTACAACTAGAATGTACATCTGTGTACTGGAGCTTTGAGGAGGGGGAAAAAAACAAAAGAGGAAGATTGGCAACAGATGTTAGCTCAGGGCGAATCTTTCCCAGCAAAAAAAAAAAAAAAAGGGAAGGACATTGTGACACTGGCCACAACCCGGGTGAACCGTGAAGACGTTATGTTAAGTGAAATAAGTCAGACACAATAGGACAAATACTGTATGATTCCACTTCCCTGAGGTACCTAGAGCAGTCACAATTCAGAGAGAAGGTAGAATGGTGGTTGTCAGGGGCTGGGGGAGGAGAGTGGGGAGTTAGTGCTTTAATGGATTTAGTTTCCATTTGGGAAGATGAAAAAGTTCTGGAGATGGAGGGTGGTGATGGTTGCAGAAGAGCTACTTGGAGAGTGGGGGAAGACAGAGACCCAGTTACACCCAACTCAAAGCCAGCACCACAGCCCAACAGAGACCAAGGCTATATTCTAACAGCTAAGCATTGTGGGTCCTGAAGAATACAAGCTGTGGGATGTGTTCATCTTCTCCAAACCAGGCCTTCTCTGGGACTGCTGAACCTGGGGGCAGTGCCCATGTGTAATGCGAACTCCATACCCAGCACCCCAGCTCCCGGCACAGGAAGGTGACCCACCGAGCAGTCACAGCCAGGCAGGACCAAGCAAAGATGTGAGAAGAGGGAAGCTTGGGCCCATGGGGGGAGGACAGGTAGTTGGGAGTCTGCCCCAAAGACTAACAGCCAGCTCTGGCTCATTGTGGCACCCTGAGGCCACACGCAAGAGTGTTGGCACCTGTGGCTACAAGGGCACTGGGAGATAAGGCCAAAGCTGTCTGCCCACATTCCCCGCAACAGGCAGCCCGCTCCCTGGCCAGGGGAGCCTCCCTCGCCTGGCCTAGCCCTTGGGGAGGAAGGGATGGAAGGTGGAGGGTGGTGCTCTCCCTTGGGCAAGCCTCTGCCACAGATTCACTCACGGGAAAGACTGCTGCTGGGAGAGGCTAAGACGGCTCTGGTGGGGCTCTCGCTCTATAGTAGGGTGGCGTGGGGCAGTAGAACTGCCCGTCTCTGAGGGCCTTATGAGGAAGCATACCTGCCCAGAATGTAGCGACAGGGCAGCAGGGAGGCCCGAGGAGAAAGCTGAGTGGAAGTGAGGTTAGTGATAAAGCTGGGATTTGAACCCAGGCCTGGCTGTCTCCTGAGCCTGGCCTGTGACCACTCCACCCACCCAGGGCTTCTGGGATGGCAGGCCAGGGCAGGGCCGGAGCCGGTCTCTGCCAGCTGGCTTCCTCAGGCGGTGGCTCTGATGTCTGCACACTGGCCCAGAGAAGGAAGTGAGTGTGTTCCTGAGGGAGGCCCTGGCCTGACGCATCCTCGTGCTGCAGCCGTGTGCAGAAGGCTTCTCTCCACGTTTACCAGCTCAGCCCTCAGCCTGGGCCTCCAGCCAGCACACTACAGAGGCCCAAGGTGGGGGAAGACAGGGACCTAGCGCTGGCCCATTCCCTGTGCCACCACCTCCCAGGCCTCTTCCCTTGCGTGAAAAGCAAATTCTGTTGCCATGGAAACACAGCAGGTCTTTGGGGCCCCTCCTCCACAACCACCACTTCCCCACTTTTTGGCAGTTTCTGAACTGCATCCTGTGAACTCGCAGAGGGCTTCAGGGGGCTCACGGATATCTGATTTTATGTGCAAAATATACGTTAACGTCTTAAAACACACTCCTATTAGCAAAGCAAACGCTGACACTGGGAACCCCTGGGCCTGCCTTGCCTCCCGAACAGGCTCCCTCACCTTGTGCAGCCCTCAGGGAATGCTTGCTTTGCTGCCTCCTCTAGTTGAAGACACCAAGGGTGTGAGGCAAGCTACTAGAAAAACCTGCCAGTACCTCCTGGGCCAGCCAGGATGTCTCTATCCTGCACAGCCAAGACAAAGCAGCAGACCGAATCCAAAGAAGAGGCCACAGGCCGGAGCATCTCCTTAACTCCAGACTGTGGGCTTTTCAAATTAAGCCCATTATTCTTATGGACTGACTTTAAGTGTTCTCAATGTAAATTGATAATTTATATTAATATTTCCTGTTTTATATAATGGACTTTCATGTATGATTTAGTCTGAAAAGTCAGATTTCTCTGCTTAAAAAAAAAGTTAGGAAATCCTTGAGATGAAGGGAGCTGCCAGGCTGGCTGCTGGGCACCAGGTGGAAGGAAAGGGCAACCAGCCCAGGTTGGAGGGGGTCACACCCCCAGAGGGGCTTCCTCATGAAGACCACCATGAGAATACCCGTAGCCTCTGGAAGGAGATTGAGGCAACTGGTGGATTGTTAGGGTTTTATTATAATTCTCTGTGTTCATAGAAAATCATGCAAATGAATAAAAACAGACCATGATGAACTCTGTATAGACTCATGCAGAACAGGAAACGTTACGATATGAAGTGTGCCCCCTGGCTCAGTACTGAATAGTGATAACAGCCAGAATAATGGTCACGTAAAATATTTATCTAACCAAAACTGTATTTAAAAAAACTCATTCCCCGGGGCAGGCGGTGCACGTGGAGGGGGCAGCCGGCAAGTGCTGCCAGGTGGGACAGCAGCCCAGTGTTGCCAGACGTCCCAAGTGATGGAGAGAAGTAGAAATCTGGATTTTTAGGCTAAACATATCCTGACTTGATAAGTTGCCAAATAAGGTTTTTAAAAATACACTTAAGCCAAGCATAACCCGTATAGGGGTTACATGCAGCCAGCGGGCCCTCAGTTTGCGACCCTGCCAGGCCTGGCGTTCTCCGGGAAGGTGGGCGGCGGCGGCAGGAAGTCAGGGCCCAGGCCGGGAGGGCCGAGCCTTCGCTGGGCCGGCAGCTGCTTCCTCCCGAAACCTCGGGGCAGCGCGCGGGGCGGGCGCCTTCCCCGGGGAGTCCCCGGGGTCCCCTGCCAGCAGCCGGCCTGCTCGTGCGCTGCCACGCCTCCCAGCTGGGCGCAGCTTTCCTTTGGCAAAAAAACAAAACCCTAAGGCACAGGTGGCCGCCCGAAGCCCCGCGCGCGCCCTCTTGTGGCCAGCGGGGAGCACCGCCGCCCTCGGTCCCTGGAGCGGGAGGCCTCTGGAAAGCCACGTTCGTCTGAATCCAGGGTTCAGATTAGAAGCTCCACCTTCTGTTTCATTTGGACCTCAGGTACACGGATTAATCATAATCCTCGGTTCATAACACTCTCACACTCCCACCATCAGTCCATGACAATAACCGACGTTTAACTGTAACTACAGCTTCCCCATCTCATCACTGCTCCCCATTTCTCCTCTCCCAAGATAACCTCCCGAATCTCCCACTCACCACATCTTTGCTTTTATTAGATAGTTTTATGGTAGCTCTATATATTGCCTAAAAAGTGCATATAATTATGGTAGTTGTTTATGATTAAATGAAAGGGAGACCAGGCTGTATGTCATCTTTCGGGACTTTAGTCACTCACGGTTATACTGCTGTGACAGACCCAGTCCCCCTTCATGTGACGCTTTACATCCTTTTGGCCTCGTGTCTCTTTTTTTTTTTTTTTTTTTTTAAAGATTTTATTTATTTATTTTTCCCCCCCAAAGCCCCAGTAGATAGCTGTGTGTCATAGCTGCACATCCTTCTAGTTGCTGTATGTGGGACGCGGCCTCAGCATGGCCGGAGAAGCAGCGCGTCGGTGCGAGCCCGGGATCCGAACCCGGGTCGCCAGCAGTGGAGCGCGCTCACTTAACCACCAAGCCACAGGGCCGGCCCTGGCCTCGTGTCTCTTGATCCAGCCACCACTGCAGTACCAGCCCTGCAAGGGCCATGACCAGTTTCATCCCAGTGTAACCAGACAGCTGTGCGTCAAGCCTCCACTGACTGTCACACTGGAGCTTTCCCGTGGACACTGCCACCGGAGCCGCTGAGCGCCCACACATGTGCCACCTGCAGGTGCAGGAGAGTTCCTGCCCTTGGGGTGACACTGGCCGACGGGACACAGGAATCATGGATACATTCGTCCTCCTCTCTCAGGATAGAGTGTCCTGAGGTAGGTTTTATACAGCTTTTTTTTTTTGCTGAGGAAGATTCGCAGTGAGCTAACATCTGTGCCAATCCTCCTCTATATGTGGGTCGCCACCACAGCATGACTGACGAGTGACTTAGGTCTGTGCCCGGGATCCAAACCTGTGAACCCGGGCCGCCAAAGCGGAACACGCTGCACTTAACCACTAGGCCACCCCACCAGCCCCTATACAACTTCTCCAAGGACAGTCCCGTGACCGAGCACACGATCACACAGTGGAGGCCAACTCAGTGACACATCCTTGTATCGGTTCTCTCTCCTTCCCAGCTTCACTCCTGATGCAGATGGTTCAGCTGGATATGTGGGAACAAGCCAAAAATATGTGGTGGCGGCACTAAAAGCCTTACTCAGGGGTGGCCTTGGAAGACAGTAGTGAAGGGAAGTACCTTCAATGGTCAAAGCTCTGGGCAGTGCCTCTGGTCACCCACTTTAGTGGAAGTGGCCCAAGAAAAGAAAATATACAGCCTCAGGGGAGAGGTGAATGGCCAGGGGCCTGGAAAGAGAAAGACCTGTAGGCCCCCCGGGGGT